TTAATCATTTTTATCAATTAAAGTAAACAAATTTAATATTTTAAAAAATAATATTTTATAATTTTTAATAAAAAACTATTTTACATGACATACTGAATATTAATTTGTTAATTAATTTTAATTTATTAATTAATAAATATTAAAATAATTTATTATTTATTAATTAATAATTACAATAATTAATCATTTTTATCAATTAAAGTAAACAAATTTAATATTTTAAAAAATAATATTTTATAATTTTTAATAAAAAACTATTTTACATGACATACTGTATATTACATGACAAATTGTATGTAATTTATCATATAAATTATTTTAATATTTTTCAAAAAAATATAAAAATAAAATTAAAAATATTTAAATAATTTTATAAAAGCGAAAACAGTATATACTCCGCTTTATAAAAACAGTTTTTTTGGTTTTTAATAACCCTTAATATTAGGCATACTCCTGCCTAGATTTCGGTTGTGATTAACGAGTTACGTGTCAGGTAAGAGACCCGAATCCGCACGTGTGAACGGATTCTTCCCAGTCTGCCCGACACCATAAGGTCCGAACCCAAGCCCCCTCAAAGGTACCTGAACCCCAGTCTAGGGTTTTAGCTTCAGCCGACCAGAGAGAAATCAGAGAGCAGCAACCATGTTTCCAGGATTTGTCATGCGCAAACCAGACAAGGCTGCCGCCTTGAAGCAGCTCAAGGTTCACGTCGCCCTGTTTGGAGCCTGGGTCGCCGCGATTCGCATCACCCCTTACGTTCTTCACTATTTCTTCGATGAAAGTGAAGAGCTCAAGCTCGAATTGTAGATCCCTGTTCTCTGCCTCTCATTCCTCTCAGGTAATTTAACGAAAAAAAGTTCTCTTTACCTCTTCCCTTCCGTCTTCCTGGGATTATTCCATTTTATTATTAGTAGTAGTGGTAAATTATAAGCAAAGAAGGATTTTTACTTCAGCTTTTCTTAGAATGGAATGCAACCTGATGAAATTGAGGTGTTCTTTTTTGTTCGTTCCTGTTAGTGTTGATTGTGTTTGTGGGGTGGATGAATGTTTGGGTGGACTGTCTTCAGTTTGATGTGGTCACATTGAAATTTCCCCCTTTTTTTTTCTTCTTACCAATGTCCATAATATTTCGAATTTTTCTATTCGGTGTCTCATGCCTGAAATGATAAAGAATTTATCTTTGTATGAATGGATGATAATTTGGCTGAACTGTCGAAAATTTCTTTTGTTTTTCTTGGAAAACTAACCATAACGGCTGTTAACTTACAAATCCAGTTTCTAACAATGTTTATCTGGGTGTTTGGCAATGGGAACATATAATGACAGCAATTGAAGTTGTTCTAAGTAGGATAATGAGAATTTTTTTATGTTGATGCCTAACTGACGTGGTGGTTTGAGAAACGATTTTCTTTCCAAGTCTTTTCAAATTTTGGTGAATGTGGGAAGTTTTGCTATGCTTTCTTTTCTGTCTCATTGCTTCATTATGGCAATAATATTGAATCAAAGAAGAAAATACTGGATTTGTGATGTTTTTGATTGAATGCTTCAAGTTCACTGTTTTCAAGTCTTCTACTTGTCATGGCAATAATATTGTGTTCCAATATAAAAATGATAATATGGTAATTAAGAGTTGTGATCATTGCGATGAATTGCTCGAGTCATATTCTTCAAAGCTTGCTATTAGGTTGGAGTCTTAAAGCATAAAACATTCCTACTAGGCTCTTTCCCCGATAGTTATTTTTTATTTTGCTCTTTTGCTTTACCAGTTATTTCTTTATCATATATGTAATTTATTCTCTCGTAGTTATTCACTTACTATTTACTTTGTATTGCAGCGGGTTGGGAGGCGAGGATGTGGCTTTGGGATGGTAAAGAGTTAGCAAGTGTTTGTCTACCTTTTAGCCTGTTAAGATGCGAGGCCACTATGTTGTCACATTAGTTTTTGTTTCTGCTTTGATCTGTTTGAGATGGAAGGCTATACAGTTTTTAAGGATGGTTGTCTATAATTGAGTATGCTAGTAACATATTTTAAAGCATACTTTTGATATGTCATGTTTTCATAACAGTAGTAGGCCCTTTATATCTTGAACTCGCAAATAAATTTTGTGGCTTTTAACTTTCCATTTTTCTTTTAAATCTGAACTACAAAATGAACAAGACAGTAGATTAACCAATAATTGGTACTCCTTTTCTGTTGTGTGGATGTCCTCGTTATCTTTCAAGAGGAAACATACAATAAATAGTGGGGACTTGTATATCTAATAACCACATAAATTGTTTAGAAACATGTCATATGCTGTTGATATGGGTTGCTGCATGGAACCCTCGTCACTTGTTCTCCAGTTTTGAAAATGATGACAGAGAGATATACAAACCAAAGCATCAGCATCATATGATGGGATCTAGGTGAAGTGAAGAGTTTTATGTTAGTCAAGGATCGATTCTTGCCGACAGTAGTTTGCTTGCATTTTGAAACTTTACGCTGAAACAGGGTATGTAAAAAAGAAATCCTTTACATGCCTCCGTTGCCTATTTTCAAAAAAAGAAATCCTCTACATGCCAATGCAATTTCTGTGTTTTTGTACCGCTTATCATAATCATCATTCCCCCATTAATAAAGAGAACATTGTAAAGGTGGTGCTAGGTGGCAGCTCATTCACCCCTCTTTTTTATGGCACCTGCCCACTACATTCTCATTCTCTGATTCAATGGTTTAAAAGATAGTTGAAATACTTTAGAGGTTGTGGTTTAGTTGACAATATGGTTTGTTTCTCATTTTGTTGAGTAAAGTTCAATTTTTTAAAGAAATATTTTCTTATGAATTTTTTAATTTTAGTGTGATTAGTTTACCTTTGATTTTATCTGAGAATGATTAGTCTAAAGAAATGTGCAGATAAGTTTAGGGACATCCTGGCAGAAAAAAAGAAGAGCAAAAAAAAGGAGAAGAAAGTTTGTTGAAAAGCAAGTGCTCCTTTAATCCTCAGGCCCCATCAACACGATGCTTCTTTTTTCCTACCAGCCACGCCCAAAATTTTCTGCTCTTTCTTTACAACGAAGCAGTGGTATCAATAACCGAATAAAAGAATTTATCGATATGCATTTGTGCCATTCTGGGATTACTTCTTCCTGGCGTCCTAGCAGTTTTTGCTCTGAGAATTTGCCATCTAAAACCCCAATAAGAGCCCAACCCGAGTGTCAAAAAACAACATGATTATAGCACTTTGCTTGTGAAACTCTCTTTTGTTTCTCACTGGTTATCCAATTCAAGGCCTCATTGATTTCCCAGAAGACAATAAAGAGGGCCAGGAATGTTGTGCAAATCTTTTGACCTATAGAACCACAGCCATCACTGATTGTGTATTTGTTGTGTTGGTCTTCTGGGGTTTGATTTAGATGACAAGTTAGGTGTCAATATGACCCAGAGAATCCTAGGTACAGAAGAACAACAAGAAGAAGATTACAGACAAGAAGGCCATGGATGAGGTCCCAGGCTCCATTGGCACCACTTTCGGATTGTCCCTGAGATTGTTGGAGACAATATTTTCCACTGCGTCTCTTCTCTCCATGTCTTTTGGTGTTGAGTTCTACAGCTATACTGCTTTCTGGTACATCTCATCTTCTGTTTCTTATCCATTCTTTCTCTGATGTGACTTTGGAGAATTCAATTTCATCTGTACGGTTCTGAATCATCTACCTTTCCTTTTCTTCAGCATAACTCTTTGCTTCAATTTTAGCATTCTGGTTAATATTTCAGCTACTTAGTAACAACCATGGGCTTGGTTATTCCATGGAGTTTCACTTTGGCACTGGTGGATGGTTATTCTGTTGTAATCAAATGCCCTGTTCGTCAGCCTGGAATATTGGTGATAATTGCTGCAGGAGATTGGGTATATAATAGAAAAAAAATTCATCAACTCATTTCAGACTAGATGTTATACATTGTGAATAGATTTATCAGATTACATGATGTTAAATGACAGGTTTTATCAGTTCTCACACTGGCTGCAGCATCCTCGACAGCTAGTGTTGTGGATCTCCTCCACTCAGACAAGTCCGCCTGCCCTTCCAAGTTTTGCAGTAGATATCAACTTTCTGCAACTATGGCTTTCTTGACTTGGTTTCTGTCTTTGGCTTCAGCTCTTTTCAATCTCTGGCTACTTCCCTCTTTATGATTCTCATTTCCTTACGTATTTATTATCTGCAGATATTGATTGTCTAGTTAGAAAATTATTCAGATAGTTTTCTTGTTTCTTGAAGCTAGACCAGCGTATTGTTTGTAGATGTATAAACAAAGAAAACATTTTGTACATTGTAAAGAGAGTATATCTTAGGCATTGTGGGTGACTGATCATGGTCATGGAGGGAAGCTCATGGTGTCAGTTGCCGGAGAGAAAGCAAGGTCAGATTCTCTGAATTGAAACCATTCACAGATATCGAATTTTTCCTTCCCAGAGACAGCCTGTTCATGACATAGTAAGGGATAAGTATCAATCTAGCAGTATAGCTTCACCGGACAGAATGTTTTGTACCAAAAGGAAACAGAACAGAACAGATGTAATTCATTACACAATCAAAAGATTAAATCTATGTTCAATTTAGTAACTTCTTTCATAAGGTTTTGTTTCCATGTTGGGACTTTCTTCAGAAAATCCAATAAAATACAGGCACAAGTCATATTGGCAAATTACAACATGGCATGATACATCACGAAAATGATTAAAACCAAGGTAAGGTCCTCTTGCCTGTCCATGGTTTCCCCTTTTTGCTTAATTTATTCTATCCTTCCCCTTATCAATAGATATGCACCAAAAACAGTTCATGTTTATGGCCAGTTTGCAAAACAAGTCACAGCACTTGGCACCTGGCACCTGGCACCTGGCACTTGGCACTTGGCACTTGGCACTTGGCACTTGGCATTCACTGCTCAATAATGGAAATCTAATCTTCTTCCTGACCATTTTGAGTTTCTAACATTTCCCTTCTTAACATCGCTATCATTTCATCGTTTCCTTGTCTCAAATATCCATCAATGAAAGCACCATAAATTTTCATATTTGGTTTAAAACCTTTTGCTACCATCTCAGCTTGAAGCTTTAAGGCTTCTTCCATTCTTTCCTCCTCACACAAACCCTTTATCAAGAACTCATAACTCTTCTCTGTGGGACAGACATCATGTTTCCCCACTGCTACTCTCATTATCTCCAAAGCTTCAAGTACCCTTCTTATATCACATAGTCTACCAACCAACACCTCAACTGTCGCAGCCCCTGGCCTATAACCTTTCCTACACATATCTTTGTACACCATTATTGCTGAATCGACATCAGCAACCTTACAATACCCACTGATAAGATGCCCATAAGTGGCACAAGTAGTCTCTATCCCTCGCAATCCCATTTCTCTATAGAACTCTTCAGCCCTCATAACCAGCCCAATTTTGCATAAACCGCCAATCATTGTGTTATAAGCCACTATATCAGGCTCCAATTTCTTGACTCTCATTTCTTTCCATAACTTCTCTGCTTCTCTCACCTTTCCTTCATCGCAAAACACTTGCATCAGAACACTATAGCTATAAGCATTTGCAACACAACCTAAAGTCTCCATTTCATTCCATATCTCCTCTACCTTCTCCATCAATCCCTCCCCATAAAAACAAACCATCAAAGCATTGAACGTGTTAACATTAGGCTTAACTTTCGCTACCCTTTTCACATTTCTTCCTTTCTCACCATCATCCACTCCAAAAACCTCCCTGAAAACTTCATATCCCTCATTCACTCCCCTACACCTCGAAACCCCCCAGATCAAAGCATTACATGTACTAACTTGTGGGCTAATCCCTCTAGATCTCAACAATTTAACAATCTCGATAGAAGCATCAATCTTTTTCATTTCCAAACAAGATTTTACTAACAAATCAAACACAAACGGAGCAGAACCGCAGTCATTGTATGTTTTCACTAAGGATTCAAAAAGTTTCAAGTGCTTAAATTCGGTTCCATGAAAGTCACTACCTGGTGCTAGGATTGCATCCTTGATAAGATTCCGGGCACGGGTCTTGAGCCGGGCTCGAGACAGGACATGGATGATTGTTGAATAGGAGGCGAAATTGTGATTGCAGATGGACTTCTGCTTGGTGAAAAGGAAGAAGCGGAAGGCAAGATGAGCATTGCTTTTGATTTGCAGGACAATTTGAGAAAACTGAGATGGGGTGAAGCCGGAAGGGTAAAGAGAGAGGAGGGTGTTCCACCGGGATTTGGAGCGATGGTGTGTGAGGATGGAAGTGACAGTGGAGACCAGTTCGGGTTGATTGGAGAGTGGAGGAGAGGCGGAAGAAGAAAAAGAGAAGAACTTCGGTTTTGGCGTTGGGGTTTTGGGAATGAAAATGGGTTTAAGGCTTCGGACCGCCATGGATGGAGCAAGATACATAGCGAAAAGAAGGTGAAATTGGAAATTGGAAATTGGAAAAATGTAATTTCATTTTTTATCGGCAAAACACAAAAATAAGGATATAACGTTTTACCAATTTTGAAATTGAGGATACAAACTTTTATTTTTTAAAAATAAGGATACTATCTTTGCATTTATTGAAAATAAGGTTAGACTTAGTTTGTCAAAGTTTAACTCACACAACACCTTATTTACAAATATAAATTTTTAATTTTTAATTGAATTTAATTAATTTTTAATGTAGTTTTATTCATTTTAATTAATATTTTATATATTTTTAAAATAATAAAAAATAATAAAAACTCATAGCCACAACATAGGATTGACAAACCAAATTTGACTGAAAATTGTTGTCAAAACCTTAAAATTAATTAATTAAGTACTAGTTGAGTGTAATAGAAAGAAAAGGATTTTGAGGGAGAAGGGAATTCAAGATGAGTAGATAAAGGAAAAGAAAGAATCGAATTCATTTGTTCCCTTTTCCATTCTTTCAAGTACGTTTAATGGGGCAGGTGCAATGCCAGGACGTGGACACAATCACCTCATAATTAAATCAGTTGTAGATGATGGAATGTTACCGTTCTTCCTTTATTTATACCAAAAAGAAAGCAAAATAATGCATTGAAATTATTGGAACGTTCCATTAATATTGTTGAGGAGTTTTTTTTTCCCGTTCGGCTCAATTAATCTTTCCGATCAATATCTTCAAGGAAGGATCTATCTTAATTAAAAAAATGCTTGAAGGTTTTTAAAAATTACATTTGATTATATATTTTGGAATTTGGAAGAAAAATTTCTTTAAATTCCATGCAATTTCTATAAATAAAAATATTATTCTTAGTAAATTTCAGCAACTGAAAAAAAAAAAAAAAGGGTTTAAAAAACCTTGTGTATTCTCAGTACTACCATTGACTGGTGAGGTATAGATTCTCTGGGCTATCAAGTTGAAGATATTTATTTGCAATCATACGAATGGATAACATTTTTAAATTTATTAAAAGAATAATAAGTACAGTTAGGAATTCAGAGGTGAGAAGATAGTACTTCTTAGGAATTTGTTCTATTTACAATGACAATATTCTTGGTCTCCCCTTGCATGAGTTCAAGGAAGACTGGAAGTTGCTTTGATTTAATTTATTCCTTTACTCCATAGATTCGGATCACTCATACGACCAAAATGATCGTAATTAACTTAAACGCATTATATAAAAAGGTTTCGTTCACGGCACGATGCTGGGGATGCTTTACCTATATATCAATATTGGCATTGGCAAGACTGCTAATTTATCAATTCCTTTGCATCACCTCCCCACTTTAGATGCTAAAATTCTTGTTCTCTCATGCATGGAAATTCCTAGAATTATATATCCCCCTCTCATAATTAAATCCCTTTATAATTGTTAACGACTTATAAGTAATTTAATAATAATTGTATATATGAGTAAAATGAATTAAAATATTAAAATAAATTTAAAAAAATTATTTTTTATTATACAATTTAAAAAATATACAATTGAAAATTAAAAGGAAAAAAAAGTTCCCTTTATAACTTGCCTGGTTACCATCATCATGTAATTAGATTTAGTATTGGATCTGGATATAGATGTCACGTAACAAAAAGTGAAAATTCGTATTCTTATGTGGGACATTACACAATATGCTATATGTCTGCACTTTCCCATCAAGACCATGAGAATTCGTATGAAAAATCACTAACCACCATTGCCACCATCCAAAGCATAATTCCCTTACTTAGCTTCATCCTCAAGCTATATTGATCGCCTGATAACTCTAATTAGAAATGCTAATCTCAGTTTCCAGATTGTCAATCCCTTTTCGCCAAGCATCTTCGATCATGTATAAATTCTCTTATTGTCTCATTTCTTTAGAAGCCCACAAAAAGACAATGAAATACAACGAGATATCCCATTTTAGCCATCCCCAACACAAGCTCAAGTTCGAGTACTCAGAATTTCCGTTCAAGTGTGACGGCTGCAAGGAAGTTGGCATCGGTTCTTGCTACAAATGTACCTCCTTCTGCGATTTCGACCTCCACATGCACTGCGCCATACCTTCTCCATCCATCTCCCATCCATTCTATACGAAATGTTCATTTCAGTTCCTCGCCCAGCCGCCCGGTGACGTGCCAAGATATTGCAACGCCTGCGAGAAGGACGTCACCGGCTTTGTCTATCACTGCAAGGGCTGTGGATTTGATCTCCATCCCTGCTGCGCCAAGCTGCCTATGGTCCTCGACGATGGAGAGGTGAAGTTGTTTCTTCATAGGAAGGTGGGTAGCGGAATTAATTTGTGGTTAATTATATATGCAATATAGCATAACAAATTGATAAAATTTTGGTATCAAAATAAATAATAGAGGTTATTAAACAAATATTTATTTTTACTTTTTAATCTTTATTTATTTTTTAAGAGAAAAATAATGCATATAAATCTTAATTTTCATAATTTTTTTTTAAAAGTTTCAATCTCAAAAACATCTTCATTTAGTAAATATTTTGAAAAATCAACCACTAAGTTTATTGATTTATTAATATAAATTATGTAAATTAATTTTTATTAAAAATTTTTCTATCATATATTCTTAGAATACAGATTAAAAGTACAATAAATGTATCATTTTATAATTAAAATACATAAAAATTCATAAAAATTAACTTAAATTTAATTAATTAATTAATTAAATTTGTCAACGTGATAATGATACTAAAATAAAAATTAATTTTTTTTATATAAATTAACTGTAAAAATATGTATTTATTATACTTTTAATCTAGACAAATCTTTTTATTAAAATGTAGTATTTTTAAGATTGAAGCTCTGTTTTTTTTTTTTTTTAAGAGTTAGAAGTTATTTTATTATTTTCTTAAAATAAATGTATAATGTTTGATGAAAATTATGAATGACTTAATTGTTAAAGGTGAGTGCTCCCTGCCATAAATGTGGAAGGAAAGGGAGGAGCTGGAGTTACAGGTCAGCATGTAAGAAATACAACCTCCACGTGGCGTGTGTGCGGGAGATGTTGGTGGAGAATTGGCATGAGTTGTATTTCGGACGTGGCAAAGGTAGTACTAGGAAGCTAGAGACAAGAATCCCTAGCTTGAAGAATACTCTTCAGACTCCTCATCAGAGGGGCAAGGGGAAGAAGGTGAAAAAGTGCTGTGAGATAGCCGGATTAGCGTTGCAGTTTGTAATATCGGCCGTGCTCGGCGATCCCACGGTTCTCATTGCTGGGGTTATTGGTAGTTTGATGTCAAGATAAATTAAGGTTGATGAGATTGTGGACTGAATTGTAACGCAGGGGATGCTTAACTTTATGCAGTGGGTATTCATGGGTCCATGTGTGCCTCTTCTGATGGGAATAAATTATTCCATGTTAATCACATGTTGTGGAAAATGAAAATGTTTTAAATTCTCTATTTCTTTTTATTTATAGAAAGAGAAGTCTATTTTCAGTTAAATTTAAAAAAAATGTAAAAATAGTTGTGAAATTGTTTAAATGATTTATTAAAGGTATTTAATTAATTAGTTTTAAAGATTACAAAAAATTAAGATATCTTGACAATTAAAATATTAAAATTTTTATGAAATTATTTAAATAACTTCTAATAAATCATTTTTATATAGTGATTTATTAAGGTATTTAAATAATTTTATAAAAAATCTTAATATTTTAAATGTTAAGACATTATAATTTTCACTTTTCTCTTAATTTTATAGGCATTATTATTATTTATTTTTCAGGCCTCTGAAAATCCATAACCCTTTTATTTATTCTATTTTTTAATAAAAAATAGAGATGATTCTTTTTTTCTTTTTTTTTTTAATTTTTTATTTTATGAGCAATAGAGATTATATAGTATATTTAGACTTTGGAGTAGAAGATTTTAAGCCTGGCCCATTTGTAGTTTCCGTATACAGGCCTGGACTAGAATTGCGTTCTGTAATCAGTAAAGGTCCAAATTGTTTGTTCGTGAACTTCTCATGGTTGGCCCTTTGGAGTTGAAGGTTATACTGATCCGATAAAAATGGAGGAGGTATCCTCTCGGAATGGGCCGAATGGCCATACTGAAGGACTTATAAAAGAAAAAAAATTAGAGTTCCTAGCATGGTATGGTTCAATCGATTAAAACTTGAAATTTTAACTTAAAAATTTTAAATTCAAACCTGGAATTGAGGAAGATGAGATTTAGGGGAAAAAAAAGGGAGGAGAATTATCTTGCCTTGTACATATAATCTATCATCAAATATATATATATATATATATATATATATAAAGCTATTAAACTTTCTTTCATCTCTCACTAGTTGTGTGATGTTAAATGAACTTTATATACTTCTCAAATAAAAAGAATTAATTAAAATTATTGAGTTATTGTTATATAGGATTTTTTTTTGAATAAAAATAAAATTATTTGTCAATAATAGAAAATCGCAAAGATACAAGCCAATTATAATGCACCAGAAGCACTACAAAACTTGACCCTAAAAGTGTGTAAAACAAGCATATGATAATAAAGCAATCTAATTGTTAGATAGATATTATATCCAAAATGTAATTGTTAAGATAATTTGCCATTAAAATGCATTCTAAGACGATATAGTGCTTACCAACCACCTCTTCTACTCTTAGTGGCAAAGCCAAGATTTGAGATGAGGGGGGGCTAAATTGTCAACACTTAAATCAGATTTGTGTTTAAAGTATTATTTTTTTCTAATCTATTTTAGTTGCGTTAATTTGACTTTTGCATATAGTTTGATTTGATGATTTTATTTAACAAATAGTTGACAATTGAAATCATTTTCTTCTCAGACATAGTACTTGTTGGATATTTTCACTTAATAAAAAAAAAAATTTATTCGTCATTAATTTGTTTATATAAAATTATTAAGTTACTTAATATAAAGTTGATAAAATTGGGTAACTAAAAAGGACCAAAGGAAGTCGAAGATAATTGTAAAGATTTAAATTTGTTTCTAAAATTAAACTTGGTCATATTCAATATAAATTATACTATCCTATGAAATTTGTGGTGATTAGTAAATAATTATTTAGTTGTATTTGTGGAGAAAAAAAATATAATAAAACACATCTAAAAAACTGTAATAAATTTAGAAATATGTCAAAACTTTTATTACAAATAATAAAATAAAACAAATAGATTTGACTTAATAAAAAGTTGTTGAGTTAGAGGTGAAATTTTAATATTTGACCAAAAAAATAGATATTAGTGACTAAAATAATTATTTTAGGTTAATTTTAGATACTACAAAGGTACTGATTTAAGGTTTTTTCAAGAAATGGCACAGAAATGTTAAAAATTCAATTAAAATATCACTTTTATAGTTAGTAGAGTAGACTTAAAGGGTTACTAATTATTATGTCAACATTTTGTTTTAAATTTAATAACAAGATTTACGAGTAATGATAATTATTTTCATAAATATTAAAAATAATTAGATCAATAAAATAAAATTGGATGATAAAATTTTAAACTACGAAATTTAAAAACTAATTTAAAAGATTCTCAAAAAGTCAGGGGTTATAATCCAAGGTCTCAACAAGATTCCACCATTGTGTACTCTAAAATTTTATTGAAAGAATATAAAATAATAATAAAATTCCCATGTACTACCTTAAAAAGATAAACTCTTATAATCTTGAGGGAGAGACGAAAGAATACTTACAGAAGAACCTTGAAAAAAATAAAACAAAACTACGAAAAGGAAGAAAGAAACAAAGAATCAAACTAAAAAGGGGAAAAAAGGGGGAGGAAAGTATCCACAGCAGAGGGAGGAAGGGAGTGGCGGTTAGGGTTTTGCTTCTCTTGACTTTGCTTTTTGAGTTCTTGTCATGTAAGATTCTTAGGATAAAAGCGTGAGTAAAAATGCAGCCAGCCCCTTTTACCTTTTTTTTTTTTTTTAACAAGGAGAATTATGAAGGATAGAAGAAATTTTCAAATAATTGATTGGAGTTAAATTTTTAATTAAGTGGACTCAAGCATTGAGATTTAAAGATGGATTATTGAATTTGAAGGTTGGTTTCAATTAGCCCTTTTTACTCTATTATTATTATTTTTTTCAACATAAGAAAATTTTGGAGAATGAGGAATTTTTTTAAATCATTAATAAAAATTAAATTTTCAACTAATTAAATTTAAATATTAAAATTTAGAAACAAATCATTAAATCTGAATGTTCGGATCAATCAACCCCTTTTACTTAACCATAATCACAAAATAAGATTGTATATTATTTACTTGGTCAATCACAATTTATTAACCGAGTGACATAAGATTGCAAACAACCATTGTGGAAAATCAGTGTTTGGTAATTATTTATAGTCTACCAAAAGTTAGGTTCCGCCCAACTAAACCAAAAACACACGAGAAGGAAACTAATTAATTGGAATTGCGCATAAAATAGTCATTACGGTTGGTGACAAACTGATAACCGATGAGGTAGCCTCCAATTGTCCGTGCTTATCAAATCAAAGCTGACAATTAACCCATGAGTGAGAAAGTACGTACAAATTGTCAAGTAATTGTACTGTACCTCATCTAGCTCATCTTTTAAAATTTAAACATTGATAAATAGGGTCAGCACTTAGCAGCCCAACTTGTCAACCATATGATGTCCTCAAAGGATTCATAATCTTATCTGGATTAATATAAATTATATTTTAAAAAATAATTAGTATATCTTTAGTTTGACATATATTTTAATATTTATTTAGTTTAATTATTAAAATATAATATAAATACATTCAATTCAATTGATTCTTATATATTGTTTATTTTTAATTTTAAACTAAAAAATAATAATTTTTTAATAAATATATTGTATAATATATTAAATTAAATGATGTATCAATCAATGTCTTTATATTGATCCAATTAGACTTTTCTATCAATTTAATTGAAAGTGGAATTTTAAATCTAATATAAGTAAAAATGCACTAATTAAACTTCTCATAAGTGTATTAGAATTTTTTAAAAGGTCTATAATACTCTTTTTGACAAATAATTAAAATATTAAGTAATTAGTGATTTTAATAAAATAAAAATTAATTTTTTTAAAAAAGTGAAGCTCTTTGTTCAATCTTTTATTACTTTGATTAATAATTTTTATTTTAATAACTGAATCTAATTCAAAAATTTAATTTTGATTATCAAAAATTTGATTTTTTTAATATAATTTATTCAATTAACAAATTTCTTTTAATCTTTTTAAGCAAAAAAAATCTTTTATCATTAATCAAAATGAAATATTTCAATTAATTAAAATTTTAATTGAATTAATAAAAAATATTTATTTTAAAGATTGAGTGATTTGAAATTAAACCAAATACATTCATCTCTAATGATGAAAAAACTATTGAGAAAATTTTGTAGAGAGAGTTTTGATTGTTATTTTTTAATTTTATGGTAATTTATTTAACTAATATTAATAAAAATTTAATATTTTAACTATTATATCTTAAAAAAAGACATTATAGACATTGTAAAAATTTTTAATACACCTATAATAAATTTTATTAAAATATTTTTACTTATATAAATTTATAAGTTGTGCCTTCACTAAATAATAAAGAAAAAAAATCTAATAGACGTACATAAAGAAAATTTCCCTTCATTTTTTGATCTGTTAAAGGGAGAGAACCAATCTTTTCGTCATTTGGATGGTTGTCTTTCACTGTGTACAATCGAAAAACTTACTTAGATGAGGATATAATCATTATGTAATTTATTTCATTTGAGAAAATAAGGGAAAAAGGGAAGAACCGTTTTAATTTAATTAGATGAAATGATTTTTCCTTCCTCTCAAACAAAATAGGCCCTAATTGCCATGGTTTTATATTAGTATAGTTTTTTCTTTGTAAAAAATATTTAAGATTTTTGTTTCAATTTTACCCTTGTTTAACCAAACAAAGACTCCTAAGAGTTAAGACGTATTTGTTTGTACTCCAATGTTAGGGATATAAAGTGGATTAGGGGTAAATAATTAGAAATTTTAAATTCTAATTTACTAGTTAATATTCTATTAAATGTACTTTTTTAATTTTAAAAGTTAAATCTATTAATAAATGAGTATTGTCTTGTATATCAAATCCTGAGTTTAAGTCTTAGGGTTAGTGTTTAAAAAAATTAATTTTCTTAAATATACTAAACCAATGTGAGTGGCATGCAAGATTGTTGAAGAAGGAATTAGTCTTGAAATGTGTAAAAGTTATTCTATTGGGAAACAATAAAATATATAAAATTCAACAAAACTAAAATTTTTAAATGAGAGGAAAAAAAATAAAATAATTGAAAGTCAAAGTACATGTTAATGTGTATGCCGCTATGATTTTATCTTCACTTGGTCTACCATTAAAAAAAAAAAAAAATCTTCAATTGGTCATTTAAAATTAAATTACATAAAACAACGTGAAATAAACGCGAGAGATATATAATTGGAGAGTATACGGGAGGAATTTAAAATGGGCAATTTGTTTAGAAGGCATGAATCATATATGATTCATATCCACGATTTTTTATTTTTCATATATTGATATTTTTTATCCAAATCCAAATAATGAAACGTAAGCCATGAACAACAAATGTATTTAGATAAAAAAAAAAAAGAAGCTGAGTTTTTATGTTGAAAAATTAAGTACTAATCTTAAAAATTTAAACATAGTATATAATAGATAATTGAAACTTTTTAATCAAATAAAATTACGAAACAAAAATTATATAGGAGAAAGAAAATTTTCAATTTCCATCCATTTGTTGTGTTAAATTTTCATCTAAATTTAAAAAGAAATTAAAAAATCAAACCAAAAACTTTTATTGTTGAACTGAGGGAGTAAAGTATATTGTACTTAAAAATATCGTACATATAAAAGATTTCACATATATAAATAAAAAATCAATCCGCATAGGTGGAGATGATAATTGGTAGTTGAATTTTTCTAACTTATGGTTAAGAGTGCAACTAATTCAAATTTTTTATATTAATTGGTATTGAAAAATTAAAAGTTTCTCTTTATTTAATTAATAGTTGTCTAATTAAAATAATTATATAAAATTAATGTTTAAATTAATGTTAACATTTGTATTTTTTTTTTTGAAAAGCAAAATATTTATAAATTTTGGAATACTGGGGGTATTCCAACCCGTTAAATACAGGATTCAGCAAGTCAGAATACCAAAATCCTTCCGACCACTGATAAAGAGCAGAATCTCAAATGTCCTAGCAAGTACTAGTTCAAACTCTGTCTTTCTAGTTGAAGCAATGTTCTATGCCCCGAAGAAAGAAGGAATTTGAACTAGCAGAAAAAAGATATCGGCCTATGCTTTCTTTTTGTGGAAAATCATTCCCTTCCATCCTTATCAGTATTTACATACCTTTTCTTCCTGCTGCGCTAGTTCTTTAAGCAAGCTAATGGATTCTGGAACCAATCTGAAAGTGAGAAGGTGCAGCTTTTCGATCTGCATTTTATCCAACTAAATGCTCTTAGCTGGACTAGTTTGAGAAGTCTGTTCTCATCTTCCTCTTTGCCTCTGAAAATCCTTTCATTTCTAGCTAACCAAAGTGTCCATACAACAGCAAACCAAATGCAGCTCCAGCCCTCTTTTTTCCCTGCCATTTTGATTACTGATGAGTGTTGACGGAATACCTTTAAGCAATCTTTGTCCAGAGCTGATTTTATCCCCCACCATCTGAAGCATGCATTCCAAAGGTTGTGGGCAATGCTGCAGTGTATGAAAAGGTGGCTAGCTTCCTCTAATTGGCTACCGCATAAGTCACATCTGCCATCCTCTATGCCTTGAGTTATCCCCCTTTTGATTAAATTGATCTTTGTAGGTATTTTATCCTGTAGAACTTGCCATGAAAATGCTGAAATTTTGTTTGGCACAATTGAGTTCCAGACTTTGTGGAGAGCCAACTGTTGTTGTTCCGATCCGTGCTCCCTCTTGAGTGCTTGGTAGGCTGACTTTGATGAATAATCTCCATCTTTGCTATGACTCCACTCCCATATATCTTCTTTTCCTCTTGTGATTGTAATGTCGTTGATCATTTTCATGAGCTCTGATACTTCTTGTTCTTCCCAGCTATGCAGTCCTTTTCTCCATTCTAAATGCCAAATCCATGTTCCGTTGAGCCACCCTCTCGATTGTGAAACTTTGAAATCCTTTCCTGCAGATAATAAATAAAGCCTAGGAAATCTATTCGCCAGTTGACCTTCCCCACACCATTCATCCCACCAGAATTTTATGCTACCCCCATCTCCCACTCTGATTTTGAACCCCTCCACTAACCACCCCTCATGCTTGCACTCAATATTGTTTAATCTACAAATGTCCCTCCACCAAGTTGATCCGTAGCCAATATTCTCCCTCAGCCAATTATAGCTAGGTTCTCCCTCTTTCCCATATTTTTCTACGATCACTTTTTTCCAAAGCCCTTTGTCCTTGTTCACTAATCTGCCCCACCATTTGGCTAGCAGCGCCAAATTAAATTTCCTTAAGTCCTTCACTCCTAATCCCCCTAGTTCTTTATCCTTGCATACCGTATCCCATTTGACCCAATTTATTTTCTTACCTCCCTCAATCCCACCCCACAAAAATCTTCTACGAATTTTATCAAGAGAAAGAATTGTACCTTTCAGGATCAAGTACATCGACATCCAAAACACGGGGAGACTGGATAGCACTGAGTTAATGAGAGTGATCCGACCACCAAGAGATAAGAACCGACCCTTCCATGTTGTTAATTTCTTGTGGAAGACCTCCACTAGCGGCTTCCAAAAGGAAATCTTTCTACAACTACCCCCGATGGGGATCCCCAAGTATTTGAAGGGCAGATTCCCTTTTTTACAGCACATAATCCACGCCATTTTGTCAAGCCACTCTTCCTCTACCCCAATGCCAATGATTAGGCTTTTGTTAAAATTGATCTTTAGCCCTGACACCAGATCGAATGTTCTCAGAATACCCTTCATGGCCTAGACATTCTCCTCGGTAGCTTCACCAAACAAGAGTGTGTCATCTGCATATTGCAGGTGTGAGACCTTGAATCCTCCATGTCCTACTTCCACTCCTTTCAATAACCCGTTTTGTATTGCTTTTAACATTTGTATTTTTAATACTAATTAATATAAAAAATTAAATTAATTGCATTGTTGATTTTTGCCCTAAAGATATACAAATTAAGAAAACCTTTAATAATTAAGGCTCAATTTAGTATGACTGTAATTTTGAGTTTTTTTATTTTGATTTTAAAATTTTAAAAACCCTGGAATAAAATTAAGTATTACTATAAATTAATTATATTTGGAGTTTTAGGTATTTGTTTTAAAATTTTATTGCTAATAAGTTGCAATTTTAATCTTAATTTTGATTATTTAAAATTTGAAAACTAAAACTAAAATAAAAAATCAAAACCATATTAAACGAAATCTAAAATTATAAGATAAGTTAATTTAGTTCAAGAATGATTTATTGAAACAAAAATCATTATTATTACTTTATCTATCCCAGAATTATAAACATTTTTTTTATTTAAAATTTATTTCAAAATAAAAGTTGTCTTTTTTGTTTTAATGAAACAAATTTTTTTCTATTTTAACTTTATGATTATTTTTCAACTTTAATTATTCATCTTTTGATTAAAAAAGTTATTTATTTATATTTATTTTTTAAGGATAAAATAAACAAAAAAAAAATTGTTTTCAAAATTTTAATTTCAAAAAATAATATATTATTCTGAGATAGAAAGATTATTGTTATTATTAAATCTTACCTGAGACCTATTAAAAATAGATAAAAGGACCATTAAACTAATTTACTTTGATAGTAAGCTATAATAATTTCTTTACCTTATCACATACTAGCTGATGTGGAATATATTATCTCACATCATTCTTCTTACCGTATTAACTTAAAAAAGAAAAAAAAAAAGAAATCTCATTAATTAATAGTAAATCCAAAACTCAACCTAAAACATAATTGCAATCTTCGAAGAGGGAAGAAACAGGAGGCAGAAAGAATGGGAATATGCTGCTCATGTGGTCTGTCAACTTCATCATCAGCTGGCAATACAGCGAAGCTGATCCTCGAAGATGATCGGCTCGAGGAATTCTCACACCCTGTTAAGGTTTCGAGGATATTAGAGAAGAACTCAAATTCTTTTATCTGCAACTCAAACGATATTGATTTGGACAACATCCTCTGCGCCGTTGGTGATGATGAGGAGCTTCAACCAGGTGAGCTGTACTTTGCTTTGCCTTTGAGTTTGTTGAATTCTCCGCTCACGGCAGAGGATATGGGTGCCTTGGCGGTTAGGGCAAGTTTGGCTCTTAATGGTTCTCATGGTGGTGGAGGGCAGTGCTTTGGTTGTGGTTGTGGGATGATGAGAAAGATGGATTCTATTGTGTTTAATAGCAGGAGGGTTGGGGTAGATGGTGGTGGCGACGAGAGTGGTGGTGGTGACGGTCGTGTCGTCGTTGACGGCGGGAGTGAATTAGAATCCTTGGTGAAGAAAAAAGGGAAGCGTGGTGGTAGGGGAAGGAGTTTTAGGTCAAAGTTGAGCGTAATTTTAGAGTAGGTAAGAAAGATGTTTTGTAATTTGATATAATTAATAATATGTTTAGTTTGAAAAAATTGAAAAAAGAGAAAAGAAAAAAAAGAAAGGAAAACAATTTTACCCTTTTTTTTTTTTTTTTTTTTTTTTCTGCCCGGTATCCGGGGCTTCGCCCCGACTATTCCAGACTCGACCAACTGTGACGCACCAGAATGGTGGGTGAGTCTCCCAATAAAAACTGCTGCGTACACAAGATTTCGAACTCGAGATTTTGCTTAAGCTGGAACGAGCCGCTTACCACTTAATCCAACCCCTCGTTGGTACAATTTTACCCATTCTCTCGCTAAAGTATAGTAATATAATTTAATTCCTCTTCTTTTATGTCATGACTTTAATACAGAAAACTTAAATTTTATATGTTGTATCTTAATTTTCAGAAGAGAACACGCTAAATTCTTTTGAAGGGATTCTTCTTTTGTGATAATTATAGGAGAAAGTGGATTTTCATGTTGTTCTGTAAAAAAAAAAAAAGCATATAAATATTTATGAAATTATTTAAATATTTTTAATAAATCAAATATGTAAAAGGGAATTTGTTAAGGGTTTAAAAATAATTTTATAAGCATTCATATACTTTTTTCCTTGGAGGTCCACCTTTAAAATATTTTTTTGTTACTCATTCCATCTTGGCAATAATAGTCTTTTATTATTATTTTTTTTTTCAGATTAAGGATTTAGGGATAATTCATATTTGAAAAATAATTGATACACTTTATAGCTTAATATATTTGTCAACAATTACCAATTTAACCATTATATATAAAATATAATTTTAAGCTTTCATGCTTTTAATTTAAGTTTGAAAATAATAATTTGTTAACAAGTATATATTGTGATGTATATTAAACTGAAATATATGTATATCAATTTGTATTTTTATCAATAACATCTTTAAGAAAAAGATAAAAGAGACTTTTTGCGTTAGAATGAATATGATTAAAGTTAAGGCATAAAGATAGGGTTAAAGGAATATAATTGGTACACCTGATAGCACCAATTGGTTTAGCTATTAAACTCTGTATCTTTTAGTTTTCCTGCCTTTGAATTAAATTTGAAAAAAAAAAAATTTCTTAATAAATGTGTTGTGGGGTATGTTAAATCAGAAAATATACTAATTATTGTCTTAGAGGGGTTTTTTTTTATCAGCAAAACAAAGAAAAATATATTATTATAAAGAGTACAAGGGGTACTCCAATCCATATACAAAGTTAAAATACTACTGTTGGCAATAGCAAACCAAACCAACAACCAAAAATACCAAAGCTAACCAGAAACAACAACTCATGAATGCCTACATTAAGAACTCATAGAAAGCCTTGATGCTGCTTTTGAAAACTCTTCAGCATACTCTTATACCGTTTTATAGCTAAAGCACAATCAACTGGATTCATCTTCCACTCATAAAAAGAAAAAGCACATCCATCCACCTTATTTTTAATCCAAAAACATGACTTCATTTATACCTTATCCAACAAACACTCTCCCATACTCCCGTAATCCTTAAATACACAAGCATTCCTCCAATACCATAAATACCATGCAAAAACAAGAAAAACACATGCAGCCAACTCCTTCCCTATAATTCTACCCAAATCATACAAGAAAAATTCTACCACTCCCCTAACTGTATTCAACATGACAACTTTTATGCCTCACCAATTCAGCACCTTAACCCAAACTAACCAAGCTTCCTTATAGGTGCAAAATAAATGATTAACCTCCTCTACCACGTCATGACACAAACCACATAAAAATCCCTCCTGTTGCAACAACACACCCCTTTTGTTGTAAATTCCATTTTGTTGGCAGCCGATCAAGACATAGCCTTCACCCAAAAAAGCCAACTTTCGAAGGCATTAGCCTACACCAGATGAGCTTGCAAATCTAAATATCAAGAAGACACTCCTTAGAAGCTAAAAACTCATAAGTTGTCCTAACCATATATTTTCCTCCCAGATCATGTACTTAAGTCTAACGATCCCCCCTGCCTTTCTTTAAATGTATACCATCCAATACCCCCCACAAAACCTCCTCCTCATTCTTTTCTTGTCCCATTCTCCCCCTTCTCCATGCCATATTCCATCACCACCTATCCCTTTCCCATTGCCCCATCTCACTAACTGAGCCTTCTTTATTCACAACCAATGCATATAGTCTAGGACATAAATCCCTTAAAGGTTTATCACCCACCCAATTCTCCCTCCAGAAGCCCACCCTACTTCCACACCTCACCTCCCATCTAAACCCATTCCCCAAAATATTCCTTAGCCTAACCGATTTCCCACCTATACTAATAATATCTTTCCACATCTTCGACACTCTTAAATTTGCAATTGATGTTATATCCACCTCACATCGACCCTGATAATTTTAATCCCTCACTACTTGCTTCCATAAACTCTCCATGCCATCACCAAACCGAAACCACCACTTCCCAAATAATGTCTAATTTCTCCTTCTCAAATCTAGCACCCTTAAACCTCCCTTCACCTTACTACCACAAACATAATCCCATTTAACCCATGGAATTTTCCTATTCAATTCAGCTCCACCCCATAGAAACCCCCTTTGAATTTTAACCAACTTAGAAACCACAAAACTAGGTATTAAAAATAAAGACATGTAAAAAAGGGTAAAGCAGAAAGTATCGAATTGAGCAAGGTGATGCGGCCACCAAAAGACAACAAAGTAGACTTCCAAACAGCAAGTTTGGCACGAAACTTATTTACCACTGGTTCCCACAGTTTTTTACTTCCAGATTTACCACCAACAAGCAAGCCCAAACGCAAAAAAAGGTGTTTTTCCAACATCACACCGTAAAGAACAAGCCGTCCCATTCAACCACCTTGTCGATACATTAAAACCATAAACACTGCTTTTGCCAAAATTAATCTGCAATCCCGACATCAACTCAAACCATCATATCACGGTTTTAACCATAAAAACATTCGCCCAGTCAACTTTACCCAAAATCATTTGTGTTTAAAGTATTTTTTTTTTCTAATCTATTTAATTGTGTTAATTTGACTTTTGCATATAGTTTGATTTGATGATTTTATTTAGCAAATAGATGACTATTGAAATCATTTTTCTTCTCAAACATAGTGCTTATTGAATATTTTCTTCCCAAACATAGTGCTTATTGAATATTTTCACTTAGACAAAAAAAAAATTTAGTCATCATTAATTTGATTATATAAAATTATTAAGTTACTTAATATAAAATTGATGAAATTGGGCAACTAAAAAGGACCAAAGGAAGTAGAAGATAATTGTAAAGCTGTAAATTTGTGTCTAAAATTAAACTTGGCCATATTCAATTTAAATTATACTATCCTTTGAAATTTTTGGTGATTAGTAAATAATTATCTAGTTGTGTTTGTAGAGAAAAAAAAAATTAAAACACATATAAAATACTGTAATAAATTTAGAAATATGTCAAAACTTTATATTGCAAATAATAAAATAAAACAAATAGATTTGACTTAATAAAAAGTTTGAGTTAGAGGTAAAATGTTAATATTTGACTAAAAAAATAGATATTAGTTTTTTTTTTAGTGACTAAAATAAATATTTTTGATTAATGTTAGACACTACAAAGGTAATGATTTAAGGTTTTTTCAAGAAATGGCACCGAAATGTTAAAAATTCAAAATTTTTCTAACTAATTGTCCAAAAACATTCAATATTAAAATATCGTTTTTATAGGTAGTAGATTAGACTTAAAGAGTTATTAATTATTGTGTCAACATCTTGTTTTAAATTTAATAACAAGATTTACAAAAAGAATAATTATAATTATTTTCATAAATATTAAGAATAATTAGATTAATAAAATAAAAGTTAATGATAAAATTTTTAAATTGCAAAATTTAAAAATTAATTTAAAAATTTTTGAGAGGCTAACGAGTTATGACCAAGGTTGTCAAAATTAAAAGTTTACCTAAAATTGTTTTTACTATGTAAAATCAAAATCGTAAAATCAAATAAGTAAAATTGAGAGTTTACTAAATTTAATATATAATATATAATAAATTATATAAAACTAAAATTAAACACCAACAAATCAAATTTAGAGTTGGAAACTTAAAATTAGCTAATTAAAATCTAAATATCCAATAATACAAATAAATAAATTAAAAATATTCAACATATATTTTATATAAAAAAATTTTAATTATTATTTATATAAATAATTAATTTTTTTAAATTTATATTTTAAAAATAAAAGATCAAATTAATATTTTTAAAGATTAACAAAGTGTACAATTTAAACATTAAAATTATCATAATAACCTTTATAAATTTTTTTATATTTATATTTATAATAATATTTCGGAATTTTAATATTAAATCACGCATCTCTTTTTATTTAGCCATTCTCACCCTTCTTCCAGTTCATACTGGAAGCACCACCACGCCTCCCCCCTTTTGCCTGCCTGAAACGTTTCTCATTCCATTGTTCATACGTAACAGAAAAGTTTATTGCTCATCCTCCCATTTTCTCCAAAATTCTCGGATACAGATCTGAGCGCTTTGCTTCGCCGGCCGCATGAGAAATTTAAACTCCGGGAAGCGCCTGAGCAGTGAGCAGCAGCAACTCCAGCAAGCCCCTGAGCAGTGAGTAGCGGCAGTGGCATTGAGCAGCGGCAGGCAACGGCAGTGGCAGTGAGCAGCGGCAGTGAGCAGCGGCAATGAGTGAGCAGTGGCAGTCCAATCTCCCTCCCCTGTGGCGAACCCTAAGCCCTTATTTGGATTGGTGGATTTGGAGGGAGAGTGGGGAAGAGTGAGGGGTAGATATGTCCCTTACTCTATTTGTTTTTCCTCGTTAATGAAGAGGGAGTGACGAAATCCTCTCCACCCTTGTGTTATTCATCCTTTCAAATTGAAAGGATTGGAAAGGATTCGATTTATATACTTAAGGTTAAAACTCCTTTTTGGTCCCTGAACTATTGTACAGACCCCCGATTTGGTCCCTGAACTAAAAAAATCTCTGATTTGGTCCCTACTGTTTACCATTTTTACCCCGATTTGGTCATTCCGTTAAAAATCGTCCGTTAACTCACAGATATATCAAAAATTTAAGCCACGTCAGTTGTACACGTGGATAAATGATGACATGGTCATACCCAATGCAAAAACAAAAGTGGGGCCCA